CATTCGCTATCATCAAGTGGCTGCTGTTTATCGTCATACAGTGAAATGTGATTACTAATGCTATTAGGAGACACAACACGCCAAAACTTTTTAGGATTAGATTTCAAGAGAGAGGGAAGATCCTGGGAAAAATATTTCTTTTTTGAAGTTCGAACGGCGCAACAGTAGCTTTTTAAGCATTCGCGATATTTTTTCCAAGCCGATGATGTAGGTGCTAGCTTAGCTTTTCTGTAAAGACGCTTCTTTTTATTACGATGACGATTAAGATGTTTGTTAAACCAGGGATTAGTTTTATCGTTGGAAATGGACACCACGGGAACGTATCGGTGCACTAAATTTGTTAGCACGTTCTTAAAAAGCACCCAGTTCTGCTCAACGGTCCTATAAAAAAACGAAGGTAAAAATGTCCGAACGAAAAATTTGTTAAGTGCAATATTCATATCCTTATAATTAGCTCGATTGTAATCGCGGATTTGAGGGATCGTGTTACCTTGAAATGCAAGAGGAATGGTAAGTTGTAATTGGATAAGCCTGTGATCACTAAAACCGTCAAGGTATAGAACATCACTAATTGACTCAGGAGCATTGCAGAAAACGAGATCAAGAATATTAGTACCGCGGGTTGGCTGATTAATTGCTTGGAAAAAGTTGAAGTCTAAGGTGAGGTTTATGAGCTCTGTTGCATTTTGGCAAGAAGATGACAATTGAGACCAATCTATTTGCGGAAAGTTAAAGTCACCAACCAGGGAAGTAATGTCGGCTGGGTATTTACCGATAGCCGAAGTAATGGAACTTCGAAGTTCGTCAATGAAGGAACTATTGGAATCCGGCGGACGGTAGCAGACGCCAACCAGTACCTTTGCCGTTGATGTAGTACAGGCGGCCCACACTATTTCAAGGCAGGAGTCGGTGTTCACCAGAAACGGCACTAATCCTTTTTTGATAGCTATAAGAACACCACCGCCTTTTTTAGCTTTGCGGTCATGTCTATAAAGGCTATACTTATTTGGGTTGGCAAAAATTTCACAGTCCATTACATTCGGATGCAGCCAGGTTTCCGTAAGTGCAACAATATCGCTATCAGCATCTTCCAAGAAGGAACACAAATCATCACGTTTAGGAAGAAGGCTTCGAATATTAGTAAGAAATAAAGATAGTGTTTGAGAACTGCTGGGACTAGGTCTAGGTATTGCTCGAGTTCTTTTATCCCTGCCTAGCTATCTAGCAGCTGCTATAACAGTGTCTGTCGCACTATCATACACATACGTTTGTTGATTAATCAGTAGTTTATCAAAGACCAGCTTGCCTCTCTTATCCTGCATCTTGGCAAATTCAAGTAACTTTCGCCTTGCTAACCTGGTCGCAACAGAAAAGTCTTCTCTAATTGAATAAGTCGAGCCTTTGAGCTTATGCGCAGATGCAAGAATTCGCTGCTTGTCCTTGAAGAATGCAAGTTTCGCAACGATAGGTCTGCGCTTATTCAAGGCAAATTTCCCTAGTCGATGAACACGCTCAAAATGGCTCTCAGTGATAGTAACATCCAGATTTTGGGCGCAGAAGGTAATAATTTTCTGCTCAGAATCATCCCATTTTTCTTTTTCATCATACTCAAGCCCAAAGAAAAGCAAGTTCGACCGCCGAGACCTGTTCTCAGCATCGTCACATCTTTCTGTAACCTTATTTAGTTTCGCAGCTAGGTCACACAAGGAAGGATCAAGGCCACTGAGCTTAGGTATGCTAAGCGACTCTATTGTGTTTTCCAGTGACGTAACACGGCCAGACAGCTGCGTAATTGCCATATCTGTAGCACGTTGCTTTTCCTTTATGCCCTTCAGCTCATTAAGTATTTCCGTTTGACCGGTCTCGAGCCTACGCATGGTATCCAATACTAATGAAAGCACACCCTCCTGTGTTGTTTGCACAGGGGGCGGACCAGGATTTGTCTCTACATCGCCGGCCATTAAGAGCAGCAAGGACATAGCAGCGGAACAACATCGCGACACTGAGCAGATAAAGCGCTTCATCATAGCACAGTACTTTGGTGGGCACGACACCGCGAACAAACAGTAGTCACTACTCCTTGGACCGGCAGCACCGCCTAGGTAACTAACCTGCACAATCAGGACGGGTAAATGACGCATGTCTGATGCGGTGTAGTGCCCAAATCCGCCGGTGGTACGGTAGCTTTTATATCCTGGACCAGCTGTGACGTGGATCGTTGACGGAAAACTTTGTTGCCAGGTAGAAGCAACGATGTCATCCAGTATCAGCGTAGCTGGCGATGAAACACGGAAAGGCGGCAGCAGCCCTGCAACCATGCTCAGCAAGTGTTGCAGGGCCCCTTTAAATCTGAAGGGGGGCTTTGCGGCAAAGCAAATTTCTCTTGAGTAGGTGCTTTCACGGTTTTGCATTACTACATTGCTGTGAAACCACCTTTACAGGTTAACTAGTGTACATTTATTTGTTTATTGCGAATACTTCAAAAATAATAGATAATTTAAATTGAATCGAAGCGAATTCGAATACTCACCTATTCGTTTGAATATTCGAAGCATTCGAATATTCGCACAAGCTTATCTGGTATGCTTTTTGTCACATGCCACTAGCCGCTACTGGTCCTTTTCCAGACATCTTTCAACATTTGTGTTGCCTTGGTTCAAATGCAGCTCCTTCAAAATGGCCTCAGAAGCACGTTTCTTTCCAGCATTGCACTGAGCAACCGCTTCCGCAACGGCAGTTTCGACTGTGAAAAGCGAGGCGTGCTTGGTTTTCGGTACAAGCGACCAGATCACTGAATGGAGGCTCTCATTTGAGTTTTGAGTTTTGCCTCTTTGGCAGGGCTCCAACAGCTTTCGATGTGAGAGGCGAGTGTACACTGGAAGGAGCGCTTCTGCAACATATTCCGGGAGGTTGTACCGATGCTTAGGAGGAGCCTGCTGCCTTGCCACTGCCTTGTGTGCACACCATGAGTCTTCTCCCTTTGGGCACCGTGAATGTTGTCATGTGTGCCTTTGCATCAGTAGAAGCAACATGATAGCAAGTGGCAAGGACAGCATTCTTCATCTCATCGATGTTTCCCTAGTGTGCCTTGAGTGCCCAATCATAATAATTTGTAAGCTTCGTTACAAGCTCACCAGTGAGCTTTTCTTTGCCACCGAGGCTTGGCCGACCTTCCCCCTTGCTCTTCTGCAGGAGGTGTCTCAGTGCAGCACCCATTCTTTTATGTATATGATTTACGCAATCCTCCTTTTCGATAGCCACGAAGCCATACACTTGCTCCTGTTGAAAGCGCGTTGAAGGCTGTTGCAAGCGCGGCTATCGCCATCGCACGACATCGTTGTGTAGCGGAATCCATGCTTTTCGAGGGACCGGCGAAACAGAATTTTGGCAGCCTCCACCTCCATCTGGCCAGGCTTGCTAGGAGACTTTTTTTGGCACTTGTGCCAAGCTCTAGCTCGCCACTCACTGTACAGAGGGTCATCGTCCTTGGGGCCAATCTCGCAACCCAAACAGAAGTTCGAGAGAATTGTGAAGTCCATCACATAGCCCGAAAACAGTTCTATTATAGTTCCCACACAAATGTGCGACAAGTGGCCACGAGTGAGCCAAGTCCCGTCGAAGGAAACTGCGATAATGCCGGGGTTCCCGAAATTCAGTTCAGAATAGATGGCCTTCACAGCTGTTGCGCACTCGCTCATAATACCCGCGAATGCGTTCATCGCGGCAGGGTTCATCTTGGTTTTGACGTAGTCTTGGTACGTTTTGTTGTGCATTCCTCGACGAGACACATTTAGGGACGAAAAAATGTCGTTTAGCACGGTCTGCCCATTGCCCGTGCTCGTAACTGCATGAGCCACAATCACATTTGCTTCGAAAGGGTTGCAGGTCGCATTCCCCCTGCTATCGGCGAGCTCCATTTGGCGCCGACATCTCCGCAGACGGCACAGTTCTACACTATTCTACCTGCCACTCCGTACTCACGGTCGCCCCATGAAACGTTTAATGGGCCAGAACAGAATTCGTATTTTGCGCACCGAAGCAGTTGGTTCAGCAACGGTAGGCTTAGCAGCGTGAACTCGGTGCCGGACCCCGCCGCTCCCAGGGAATCTCCAATAAGCGACCGCTTTCGGCAGGTAGCTGATAACGAAGACAGCTTCTGTCGTTGCTCTTCCGCGTGATGCTCAATCGCCACTTTTTCAGCTTCTGTCACAAAATGCGTATGGACGTGCATTGTCCTCATGTCATCGGCCACAGGCATCGCTTGCGCGACTGCAGCTTCGGTGGATATCGTACACCCGCTGGCGCATGTCGTGGAGCTCGTCGCCGTCGATTCACTCGACGCTACTTCAGGAATCCGAGACCGACGCTTGCGTTTTTTGCCGTAGGCATGAGCTGTCGCGAACTTGCATCGCCTGCCAGCCATCGTCGCGTCCGAACAATTTGGCACATGGAGTCGCGCATTGTTGCGCACAGTTGGGCAGACGAAATTTTCGGTCGTCCAATCAGAGAGCAGGATTTGCCCCACGTAGTAAAAACGCACCAACGCCGTGCGAGTATTTCTTCTTTGTGGTGGCGTGTAGCTCCATAGTCACCAGACGTAGAGTTGTTTTCTCGCTAAAGCCAGATTGCTGAAGAATTTAGCTTTCGAATGATTCCAAAATGGCCGCGCTGCGGCTAACGGTTACCGCAGACGACGGCATTGAATTAGCCCGTTTTGAAGAGGGGGCGCGTTTTCGAGCGACAGTGACCATAAAGATTTCTTCAGAACGCGATAACAAAATAAATACTAATCGGAGCGCATTAATATTCCAGCAATAGATTCTTTTGGACGTCCAGATTAAAAAAAATATTTCAAAAAATAATTTTTCAATCAATTTTTTGCTTTAAAAGACCCGTGTTTAACAAGAACGAATGGAGCTCGTTGGTCCAGTTTAAATGGCTGACGTGACTTGCAAGTACAGATTTTGGCATGAATCGTTCGGCTTCTCCTTTGGCTTCAGGTCATCAAGGAGTGATGCGATGATGGTTGAAACCAAGCTCGCTAGCAAACTCTGGGAAGCTTTCAGTCTGAAAGGGTGAGCCATTATCTTGCTTAATGATTTATGGACAGCCTAACTGTGCAAAGATAGTGGGCAGTTGCAGTTGCTTGATGACGGTAGATGCTGCAAGCGTGTGTATGATGCCGACAACGGGTTCTAACAGGAAAAGGGCCAAGAAAAATCTACCGACAGTTCTGTTTCAGGGGCCTCGAGGCAGTTTCTGTATTGGCAAAAAATTTCGCTGGGGAACTGGTGTGTTCTTGTGGCATGCAAGGCAGCTTTTCGCTGTCTGGTCTACCAGCAAGTCTATCCCTCTCCTGGGAACCACACCTTCCCACACAACGGCTGTTTTGTCTTCAAAATGCCTTGGTGGCCTCTATGAGCAAGGTGTACAGCTTTTGCATGAAGCTGTGCTGGCACTGCTATACAAGAGCCTCTTAGCACAAGGCATTCCTTAAGAACTGTGAGTTTTGTTGCAACATGATGAAAATGCTGTAGAGTTATGCTCTTAAAGTCTTTGCAATGCAGGGGTCGCTTGAGGACTTGCTTGAGAGATGTGAGCACAGGGTCAGACAACGTCGCCCTGGTTACCTTTTCTATGGTCATAGCAGAAGGCAGACTACAAGACTTAAGAAAGTGCACATATTCTTCAGCGACAGACTTCATGCACCGAAACTGTTCCAAGGAAATTACTGGGTGTCGACAGAGGTAGCCAGATGGGTTGCTTGGACCACTGGTATCTAGACTTCAAAGGCATATGGTTGAATTAGATGTGCCAAATGCTCTGGCCGTACTAATACCAAGGAGCGGGGGTTTCAAGAATACTAACCAGTGGTTTGTGGTCCGTCAATAGAAGGAACATTGTCTTATACAGGTAGATGTGGAAATGCTCAATTTCCCATTCAACTGCTAGCATTTCTATTCCAGTTTGGAAGTGCGGAGCTTCCAGAAGAGAAAGGGCACGGCTTCCATATGCAACAACTCTGGTTTTGCTTCTGGATGTCTGTGTGAGAATAGCATGAAGGCCATGATGGGCAGCATCTACAGTGAGCGTGATGTCCTTTTGGGAGTCAAAATACGCAAGAGCTGTGGCATCAGAAAGCTGTTTGTCCAGTGTGTGCTGCTGTCTATCTGTCCAACACCAGTCCACACCCTTGGCTGTGAGTTTTCTGAGTGGTTGGCTGAGGTGAGCTAGGTTTATTATGAACCGACCACAGTAGGTTAGCAGACCAAAGAGTCTCTTCACTTCACTGGCACTGGTGGGTGGTGATGCTCCAAGGACTGCAGATACCTTGGCAGGGTCTGGTTGCATGCCTTTGCTTGTGAACACATGCCCAAAAAAGGAGAGTTGCCCCGCCGCGGTGGTCTTGTGGCTAAGGTACTCGGCTGTTGACCTGCAGGTCGCGAGATCGAATCCTGGCTGTAGCGGCTGCATTTTCTATGGAGGCCAAAATACTGTAGGCCCGTGTGCTGAGATTTGGGTGCACGTTAAAAAACCTCGGGTGGTCGAAATTTTCAGAGCCCCTACGGCATTTATCATAATCATGTGGTGGTTTTGGCACGTTAAACCCCACATATAAATCAAAGAAGGAGAGTTTTTTTCTGTAGATGTTGCACTTTTTGTCATTCAATGTGAGACAACTTGCGAGTAGGCATTTTAGTGTGCCCCTCAAAACTTCATCATGCTCCCTCTGTCTTTTCATAGACCAGCATGTCATCACTTACATTGAGTACATTGGAAATGTTGCCTAGAACACTTCAGCTGCAGATTCGATTCCGCAGTCAAGTCTCTTGTATGTGAACAGTCCAGCATGTGTAGAAAAAGTGGTGATCTCACGAGATGATGCATCGAGTTCAAGCTGGTTCCATCTGTCATTCAGATCAAGCTTGGAGATTATGACAGAGCCATTTAAAGCAACAACGATGTCATGTACCGTTGGTGTGATGTGTCTTTCACGTTGGATGCCTTCATTGGCACAACGCATGTCGACGCACTGGAATGTACTCGGGGTCATGTGATTTTAGCACGGCCACAATTGGAGATATCCAAGGGGTTGTTCTTTCAGATTTCTCGATAATGTCGAGGGACTGCAGCTTTTGAAATTCTTCTTCTTGTGGCTTTCGCATGGGAAAGGGGATGCGTCTATGAGGCTGTGTTACTGGTTGTGGTCAACATGGAGATGCAGCTCTGCCACGGTGGTCTAGTGGCTAAGGTACGTCTGACCCGCAGATCGTGGGATCGCATCCCGGCTGCGGTGGCTGCATTTTCGATGGAAGCGAAAGTTCTCTAGGCCCGTGTGCTCAGATTTGGGTGCACGTTAAAAAGCCCCAGGTGGTCGAAATTTCCGGAGCCCTCCACTATGGCCACTCTTATAATCATGTGGTAGTTTTGAGACGTTCAACTCCACATATTCATCATCAATCACATGAAGATGCACTCGGAAGTCCTAACAGTAGGAAACAACCTTAAAGTAACAAAAAACAAGGGCCGAAGTGAAAGAGTGGACTCAAAGAGCACTAACTCGAAACTGAAATTTATTACAAGAAAGAAAAGAATAAAACATGACAGACATCCATGCATTTTGTAGCATAGTCCCGTCTGCTTTGATGAGTCATTTGAGCTCAACTATAGATAAAGGTATTCTGCCGCTTTTTTTTTGGAAAACTATGATCGCAGTTGATCCTCTATAGATCTAAAGCTAAATTTTCTTCCTTTATGTGTATCATTAAAAGCCTGTGGGTGCTTCGAACACAATGGTAGCTGCTCCAAAAGCACATTTTGCCTGCTACAATGGCTGCTCCGAAATGCCGGAAGGCATTCCCACCACTTGATTAAGTGGTACTAATGCCTGCCTTCAGTACCTGTGACTCGGTAGGGGACCATTGCTTCGAGCAAGCGCATGTAATTCTAAGGCAAAGATTTTTTTATCTTCAACTTAAATTTCTTGCATGGAAGTCATTACATTACTTAGTTATTGAGATGGCGCTCTATGTTTGACATCTGTGACACACGACGGGTTTGGAAATCGTGTTTCTCAGCAAATGAAACTTTTTTGTCCTCACAAATTTTTCTATCGTCTAAGTTTATGTAATATGTCTGACAGAACTGTTGAGGGGTCTCCAGTAAAATTGTGATCAATTTTATGCATTATCTGTGTTGTATATTGGTGTTCAGAGCTGTCAACCTAATAAATTTTAATTATGTTTAATTAGTACAGGTAAATGACTTTCACTACTCTCTGTATTTGTTTATTCAAAAGTAAAATTTTCTCCATTTCTTTTATGGGCAGGCTTAAAATAAATAAGCTTGTAATAAATTGACCAGGAATGTCCTTCTTGGGTCTGAGGAAGTTATCAAACTGCTCAGTTGATCGTTTGATCGAGTTAAGCTTGTTTTTTTCTTTGTGTGTGAATGCCCACCCACTTCAGTGGGCCTTCATTGGTGCAGCGAATTAGGGGGGGCCCATTTCATTGGCAGTTTCTCAAACAGTTAAACAGTAATTTCGGCAAACCACAGTGCGAGCTCCCTCTTTAACATGGTCATCACCTGTTTGCGGATGGTCGTTCAGGCATGAGATTATCACTGACCATCATTCTACTACATTAATGCTGAACCAGTGTGTGCAACTGATGCATTCTCGATGGCTGGACACCTAAAGCTTTTCTTTGAAAGTTCTGCAGGACTTGTAGCAAAATTTCGCACACACTGTTCTTCCAGGTCACTATTGAAACGAACAACTTGTAAACATGCAGCTCTAGTTCTCCAACTAATTATTGGTTTGAACTGAATGTGGAAAATTTTGCTGTTCTTAGCTAAGCCTATAGCTGCTGCTGCTGAGCTTAGCTGTTTGGCAGGCTATTTCACAAGATCCATAGCATTTCTAACACGCTTTGTACAGTAAAACCTCGATAATTCGAAGGCGGACCGGATCACGTAAATTCTTCGAATTAAATGGATTTTCAAATTAACCCAAATGAAGAAAAGAAAGCAAGCAAGCACTACAAGATGAAATCACTTTCTTTTTTTTTCTTTGCAAGAAAAAGGTTATTTGAAATAATCCGTGATATTGGATTGCTTGTTGCTGTAGTTTGCCGCCCCAAGTGCCATGTTCTCAAACCTGCTCACAATACTCAGCATTTAACTGTCATCACTGCTGCTTCGACAAAGCTGCGGAAGGTATTCACGGCATCGACAACTGAGGCCAAAGCAGGCGCGCGGGCGGGCTCGTTATCGTCGCCGTCATCGCCGACTTGCCTACTGCCGGTGAAGTCCTCGTGCACATCAGCGTGGGATGTTTGTACACCCACCTCAACACTGGAATACTCCACGAAGCCTAGTACTCTGCCATTGCCGGAGTCAGTGATCCGGTTGCACATTGAGTCTCCCTCGTCGTCTTGGCTGGACGAGCTGGAATCTTCATCAAGATATTCACCACCTTGTTTATGGAACCCGGCATGTTCGAAACAGCGCTTGATCACCTTTGGCTCCAACTCCTTCTAGGCAAAGGCAATTAAACATAACGCACCAAGCAGATCGATGCGGTATTGCTTCCCATTGCCGTAGCAAGTCAGAACCCGCTTCAATAAGTGGTGGCGGTAAATCTTCCTCCTTTGCAGGATCACACCTTGGTGCATCGGCTGTGATACAGTCGTAGTATTTGCCCGGAAGAAGACAATTTTGACGGCTTCCAGGTTCCTGATGTCCCTGTGGGCTGAGCGATTATCAATAACTAAGAGCACTTTCCGGCCTTTGGCGGCAAACTTCCGGTGGAGAAACTGAACATATTCCACAAATATTGTTGCCGTTATCCAGGCCTTCTTGTTATGTCTCAACGTGGCAACGTCCCTTGGGGAAAGGCGGCACGTGTTCTTGAAGCACCTAGGCTTACCCGATCAACCGATTATGAGCAGTGAAAGCTTCTCGCTTCCAGACATGTTCGCGCTGAACAAAATAGATATGCTCTCCTTGGGCTGCTTTCTCCCCGATACACTAGTGTCCTTGGAAGCAAATGTTTTCGTGGGAAGTACCTTGTAGAACAAGGCCTTCTCATCCAAGTTGTAAACATTGTCCTCACCAAACTCCTGAAACAGCGGTGCCAGCGTACGCATCTGCCAGTCGTCAACGGCGTTCGTGTCGGCGCTGCCGCTTTCCCCGCACACAGTCAAGTATGTAAGGTTATTACACTCTTTAAATCAGGCGAATCAACCATTACTGCACTTAAAACTTTCATGGCCAAGGCGCAGTGCCAGGTCATTGGCCTTCTCCCGTAGGATGGTGCCGTTCACAGGAAGATGAGCTGCGTTTGCGTGCTGCAGCCACTTCATCAAAGCGACCTCAATGTCCGGGTATGTTAGGAAGTGAATCCTTGAACGCTTTGAGGAATGCGTTTTGCCATACACCCCGAGCAACTTTTCTTTGTTCTTCAAGACAGTCAAGAGCGTCGACAAGGGCATCTTGTCCTTTTAAATGAGTTGGGTCTTTGTGCGCGTCGACTTCTAAGCCTCCTCGATTAAGGACACCTTTTCCCGCAGTGTCAGTGTCTTGTACTCCGGCTTCGAGAGTTCAAAAAGTGGTCAGGACTTCGCACGCAACTCAAGCAGGCGTAGGTGGTGAAGTAAACAAGACTAATGGTCGGAAGCATGCGAGCTACATGAAAAACGTGAAACGAAATGCGTGAAAAATGAGATACGTAGAAAAATGCAAACCTTGAAAACAGGAAATGAAAAACGCATTTTAACCTCGTTTGCGGTACTCCATCTATTATGACCTCTGAGATAAGCTTCGCCGGACGGCCGTTTCACGTTGGTTGCTGCCGGTGGGAATGGCGAATTATCCCCATGGGCTGTTCTAATAATCCGGTAAAATTTGCATTGAAAAACACGAAGCCCCAGAAGCTCTTTGAATTAACCAAAATTTCAAATACAGCAAAGTTTGAATTAGTGAGGTTTTACTGTAATTTATGAAGAGAATGCAAACGTTGCGATTCATTGTTCACCATCGCAAAGGGAGTGCTTTCAGCGATATGATATCGCGGTGACATTCAAAGATTGCTGTGCCTCATAGGGTAACCTTTTCTTGCAGACTTAACCACTTGGATGTACAGCTCTACGACTACGCGCGTAAATTGATGTCCGAGCGGCTGCAGCGCCTTAAAGAACGGGGTCCAGTCAGGTGAGTGATTCAAGGCTGCTGTCTTACATCATTGAAATGACTGGGCAAGCCAAAAATTTGAAATTTGTTTGAACTAATCGCTAATCAAAACCGAGGGCGTAGCCAGAAATTTTTTCGGGGGGGGGGGGGGGGGGGGGTGCAATCATCGGCTTTTTTCTGTGACATCACTATGAGCAGTAGTTTGAGCAGATAGTGTATATAGATATCAGTCATAAGACTGCCCCCTCTCCCCAATGCGTATGCTTGTGAAGAGTGTAAATAAAAGTAAATTAATCACAGTAAAATACAGTAAAGGACAGGTAGGGTGACCGTTTGGAGCAACTGCCTCTTGTCGCACCATAGAATGAACTATATAGTCTTCGAAAACGCATAATTGTGATGGCCCGCTCGATCGGAGAAGACATCGTTAATCTCTAATAAGCGTAGATAGCGTAGTTCTTGTCGTGGTGAAGCGCGTTTTACGAGTCAAGGACAGCTCCGCTTACGACAAAATAGAGATACACGCAGCATGTTTGTGTACATTCATAATTATATTTCGGTCTTGCTTACTTTGCTGAGCCAAGAATTTCTTGCTTACCTATGGGAAGGATTTTTATGTTAAATGTGTCGAGCAGCGCTGACGCAGTGGTAGCTTTTAGTCGTTTTTTTTTTTTACTTTACTGCGTGCATCCAAGCATGCTTTCGATACGCAATAAGTAATTTTTTTGTAAGTTGTGCTGCACGTTGGCAATAGGATTTCGCATGTGTCATTTTTCAGGCAGACTTTCTTGCAACCTTGGGTGACATTACAGTTGCACTTTGACCTGATAGCAATGAATTGCTCTAATCGCAGAAATTGTATCGTGAAATCGGCAAGGACAAGGTAATCAATGTTGTGAAATATTCAGTTGGTCTCAATCGAAAATGCACCTGGGACCAGGCTTTACCGACTCACATAGAAATAGCTTGTTCGTCGGCGTGTATATATATATATATATATATATATATATATATATATATATATATATATATATATTTAATAAGTAGGTAGAAAAACGCATTGTGCTCTTTTTTTTTCGTATATTTCGTCGCTCTGCTCCTGAAACCATAGTGTTGCGGCAAGGTGTCTTCCATTGTTTTCAAGTGTGTAGCCGTGATTTCAGAACTGTACAAAATATTTCACCATGCAGCATAGATATGCCATGTATACACTGTTCTAACTAGTACGTGCATTCATGCTTGCAGCACTTACACCTGCACAAACAGGAGCAGCTTCGTACCACACAAAATCTTGAGTGATCGGTTCACTAGAGAGAGATCGGTTCACTAGAGAGAGATCGAAACAACATTTATGACAAAAAAAAAGTGGTTCGTCAAGGGTGGGGCCCTTCTTCCAAGGATCCACTGGCATAGTGGCTCGGTGGGCCAGGCCCAGGGTCGCCAGTTGAATTCCAGGGTCTGTTCAGCGAACACAATGGGGTGCGTATGTACCATGTCGACTGTGACAGGTCGCTCTGGACCGCTGTAAGTCATGTGTGTTAGTGTAGGAGTATCTCCGCACCACGGGCATGCTTTGTGATATCTCTCTGGGTGCACGATGTGAAGCTTATGCAGATTTGGGAAAATATTATTCTGCAGGCGGTGCCAATCCTAAGCTTAATGTTGATGAAGGTCCTTGTTGGGAGGCGCCTTGATGTGGCAATCTAATCTTGGTTTGTCTAAGATGCTACGTAGTGCCACCACTTCATCTCTACCCTCTTCAGGGGTGGGCGGTCGTGGTGCTCGGCTGCTGAGTATTTGAGATTGGCAATAAACTAGTTCATTGCCCTCCCGGCCTGTATGGGTAGGACACCAGGCTAACCCTTGGTCAAAGAGGAGTTCGCTCCTCAACAGATTGATGGCCTTTGTTAATATTGCCTTGAGGTACATGCGACAAGTTACCCAAAGTCTGAGACCACGTATGCAGAGATACCTTGTTGGTGAGAGCGATGGCAGTTGCCTCAGTTGACACTGAGGATGAGGTAAGTATAGACGCGAAGTTGACAAGATCACCCCGTTTGACTACAGCGAGAGTCCAAGTGGGAGATTGCCTTTGCTGTTTAGAGCAGGGACTGACCTTCATATAGTAAACATCAGGGTGGTCCTTCAGTCATTTCAGCTCTTGTACAGTAGAGCCCGACTATATCGAACCCGTTTATATCAAATTGTCCCGTATATCGAACAATTCCTAAACATGTTAAGTTTTCGTTGAGAATATATAGCAAAAGTTACTGTTTTATCGAACGAAAATAGCAACGACAAGTGATATATCAAACTCCATGTGCCGCAAAAGTGCCCCAGCAAGTTGGCTTTCCCTCGCGGTGGCATGGAAAACTGCCGGCGCCACCCTAGAAAAAGTTAGTTAGACCGGGTTGTGCGCGGGCGAACACCCCCCTCCGAGAAATGATCCTGGCCCGCTCGCAGCACTTACAGCTAATCAGTGGCCGTTGTACTTTCTCTGAGGTGCGGAGGCTGGTAGAAGTGAGCGCCATTTTTTCTTTCTTTATGCTTGTGTGCCTGCTGCTGCCGATTCAGCGTGGTCTGTGGTGTTGCCTGTTGGTGCTCTGTGAACTGTATTGGCGCGCTGTCATCATGGCTTGCGCAAAGAGGCAACATTTGCCGTTCGCCGCGAAACTCGAAATCATCAATCGGGTTGAGCGCGGTGAAAAGAAGTCTGACGTCGCCGCCGCGTACAAAATTCCAAGGAGCACCTTGAGTACTACCTTGAAGAACAAGGCAGACATCAGGGCAAAGTCGACAAAAGGCCATGTGCTTGTGGCGCCCGACGTGTGCGCGCTGCTGTGTACGAAGATGTTGAAGCGGCTGTTTACAAGTGGTTTGTGGACGTTCGGTCGCGAAACATCCCGGTGTCCGGCCCTATGATCGAGCAGAAAGCCAAGGACCTTGCTTTTCTGCTTGGCAGGAATGATTTCCAAGGCGGTTCAGGCTGGCTTCAGCGGTTCAAAGAACGACACGACATCATTGGCAAAGCTGTTACAAGTGAAAGCAGAGTGGCGGACCTGGACAGCATAGAAAAATGGCTCGAGCAAAATTGGTGAGATATCGCAGCAAGATATAGAGCCCAAGATATCTTCAATGCGGATGAAACCACTCTGTTTCGGCAAATGTTGCTAAACAAGACACTTGCGTGTCGTGGCGACAAGACAAGCAGCGGCAAGGCAAACAAAGCTCGTGTGTCCCTGCTGTTGGCAGCTAATTTAGACGGATCTAAAAAGCTTCGACCTCTGGTTATCGGGAAAAGCAGGGCACCGCAGTGTTTTCGAAATGTGCTGTCGCTTCCAGTTACCTACCGAGCAAACCCAAAAGCGTGGATTACTGGGGAGCTTTTCAGCAGATGGCTATCGTCGTGAAATGATGATTTGGTAGGCAAAAATCGCAAGGTGTGCCTGCTCGTAGACAATTGTTCATCGCACCACTGCAGTACGACCTTCAGCAACATCGAGCTGTGTTTTTTGCCCTTGAACACTACGTCTGTACTGCAACCACTGGATCGAGGCGTTATACGCGCAATGAAAGCCGGCTATCGGAAGCACCTGGTGGAGAGGCTGCTGCAGAACCTTTGTGTCGGCAGGGAGCTGAAGATCGACTTGCTTGGAGCTATTTCTACGTTGAGTAGATCGTGGGCAGATGTCAAGAAGGAGACGATCCAGAACTGCTTCCATGTGCCTGTTGATGACACCCCAAATTCTGACAGCACTGAAGACACCGCAGGTGTTTCCGCCGAAGTTTGGAACGAGCTGGCAGAGTTCCCGGGTGCTATCGACGGATCGACATTCGACGAGTTCGCCAGTGCGGACGATGATGTCCCCATCATGGGCTAATCACAGGATGAGGATTGCATTGCAGACGTCGTGCCGACTACGAGCCAAAGCGACGGCAGTATGGAAATCGACGACGGCCCATTGCCTACATCCTCCGAAGTGATCAGTGCGCTTGCGTTGGTCCGGCGCTATTGCTTGAATGTGGAAGGTTGCGGCCTCAGCTGCTCCGACTCATTGGACAACGTGGAGGCACGCGTGCTGTCGCAGGCAGCGAAGTCGTTGACACAGAAAAAAATCCGGGACTATTTTGTTCCACAGTAGGTCACGCAAGTAAGCCATAATATTAATAAAGTACGTTTCTTTAAGTTTGTTATGTGCCTTTGTGTCGAAACCTATACCGGGCCTATATCGAATTATGCCATATATCGAACTAATAAACGTTTTTCGGCGAGTTCGATATACCCGAGTTCGACTGTACTCGAGCTTTTCGGCATTCTCTATGCTAGTACGGATGCATATCGCGTGGAATGGGCTGTGTCTAGATGCGCTATCTTAGATTTTGTGAGAGTAGATTGGAGGCTTCTGAAGAATATTCACTAGTGTTGAAGGAATGAACTTTGGTCTTATTCAGAGCATAGTGCACCATAATCAATTTCTGAGAATGTGTAAACTCTGACGAGAACTGCCAGCGCATGCAACATGAGTTTACCTACGCCGTACTCTGCGCCATTCGTGCCGGTCGGTTGTCTGTTTTGGGCATTCTGATACGAGTCGCTGGAACTTGACTGCTGGTATCAATTCCTTCGCATTCATTCACATTTGTGGTATGGCATCAAAACGCAACAGAACCTACCAGCCTTCTGTAGGGGCCCAATCACAAACGTGAGACATTTCGCGCTTATACTTGGAAAGCGCGGCTTTACTGGCATCTGAAAGGAAGCGGAGGAAATGTATACCCACCAATCTTTCCGCCAGGGGACAAACGAGAGCAAGTCTTTGAAGTGGAAGGTATCGTCGCTAAAGTTCTCGTTTCATGCATTCAGTGTCACGACCGAAACTTTGCTGAGCGTGTTGCTTCGTATAGCGATGCAAAGGCACCCCCTTGAAATACACTGCCCACACGTATTGATGCGTAGTTCGTGTTCTGTGTCAATCAGCACCCTTTTGTGAGGCTAGTGTTTCTATGAGCGCTAGTGTTAG